AGGGCTGCACGTGCCGTTTTAAGTGCATTCGTTTCCTAGGGAATGCTCCTTTTACGACATCTGCTGACGTTGAGAGAGCTTTTATTGCAGATCAGTAGAGAAAAATCCAACTTTTTACACAATTTCGATTAGTTTTAAAGCTTTGTCACATAATATTTATATATTTTTACAAAATAACATTGTTTAAGACGACGATGACGTTGTTAAAAAGTAAATGCTGCGGTCACAAAGCTTTATAGTTGTAGGGGTTGAAATTGTGGCTTAGAATGAATGTTGCAAGCAAGCAAAATGATACGTCGAGTTCAAGTAGAATGTTGACACCTAATTTTATAGCAACTGCTATAACGTAGAACGTTAGATTATATTATCTGACTGACGCTAGTTACTGTTTTACAACGTTATAGATTCATCTGTATAATTCAATTTGTTTTAATCTGCTTAAGAAGCATATTTTGCGTTATTGGAAAACATCGCCCTAGGAAATAATAGCGTGAATTTTGTTATATTTTCCTTTGCATCTATTCTGCTAATATACAGTTACTTAATGGTATTATTATAGAGATAACGTGTTTATATAATCTTACTAATATTACAAATGTGGAAGTTTAGATGTTTGAATGTTTGGATTGATGTTTGTTACTCAATCTCACCAGAACGGTTGAACGGATCTGGATTAAATTTGGCACAGAGGTAGATTATAGTCTAGATAGCACACAGATTACTTTATCCAGGAAAAATATACGGTTCTCGTGGGTTAGATTTGTTTTTGCTTCTCTTAAGGGGAACCCGAGCGAAGCGAGGGTGAGCCACTAGTTTGAGATAAATTTAAAATAACACTGTGGGTTTATTTGAAGATTTATGTACGATTTTATTAATATTGTATTATGCAATTAATATTACACAATATACTATTCACTTCATTATAATGCGAATATTTGACATTTTAAATGAAGCTGTTTTTTCAGACTTTATATTTATTTCGCACGTGACTATTGATTGTTGCTGTAAAGCATTTGAAACACCGGCAACGAAAAATCGAAATAAAAATAAAACCCTGAAAATCCATAAGAAGAAATCTATCAAGTATTATTAAAGCTATCTATTATATAATAGTTATATTTTACGATTAAAATCACTAAGTAATAATTGATCATCCTTATTTTACTCATTAAAAAATATAAAAATCGATTCGTCAAAAACATAATAAAAACGAGAAGTAGAAGTCCTTTTTGAAGTTGTCAAACAAGCAGTGTAAGATGGAACGTTTGTGTAAAGAAAGAAAAAAAAAACAAAATCTGTCGCTGTCAGAGGAGTGAATAGAAAATCTTCGAAGGCTATTAACGAAGAGATCTTAAAATTGTTCTGCGATAGAATTGACACAATATCATTGTATTATACATCGTATTGTTCTTAGGGACATGAAATATCATTATTAAAATCCATACTTATTATTATAAATGTGAAAGCGTGTTTGTTTGTTTGTTCTTCTTTCACGCCGAAACGGAGTGTCAGATTTTTTGTGTGGAAATAGTTGGAGGACTGAAGTGACGTAAACTACTTTTTACCGCAGGAGATTATCTCATTCCGACGGGAAAACACGTTATAATACAACCATTACAAACAATTATATACATTACATATTATGTTTGAGTTTTGACAAACACAAACAGACACTTCAATTTTATTTATTAGTAAAGTAGATGTATATATAGTTAGAGAAATATGGTTTTAAGTTTGTTTTTTTTTAAGTATTTAAGTTTACACTGTAGCCATGAGCGACCGAATTAAATTTCTTATAAACTTTTTATTAGATTAAACATTTCGTTTCCTTGAAAATATTCCAAGAATTTCAAATTAAGTTAACATTTTGCATTTGCTGTGTTATTTTTATTACTTTATACCCTAATGTGTCGTTCAGTCGAGAGGCTAAGCGGTTGGAGCACTCTCCACGTATCTCGTGCCAGCCTTGGTACGCCCCTTTGATAAAAAATACGGAAAAAATATTTTTAATGCGAAGATATAACTATCTCATACATGAAGTATGTTTAACCTATTTAAGAAAATGAGGTAATTAATTTCTCGATGTCGCTTAGGAATGGTGACATATTTTCTTACTTTGTGAAAATTATAACTTTTTTCCAACGACAATATATCAACTGACTATAACAGAAGTCACGGATTCGAATCTTGCAAATTTCGGAGTCAAGCGATCGCATGATCTAGAACTTGCTAAAGTAATCGATTCAATATTTGGTCTCTCTGGTCCGCATTATTGCCTATATATTGGACTGTGAGAGATCTAATAAAAAATTCAAATCTCTAGAAAGTCGAAGGTCTATGAACGATTTCCAAACGTCTTTTCTTACTAACATAAAATGTAAATGGACGTGAATTATTAAACTAAAAGCGTATATATATAACGTTATAAGCGAAAATAAACAAAATATTTATAACAAAGTTAAATACAATCGTATACTTATAACTTTTGTATATAATAAACGAAAATCTCACAAGAGCATCCAAAGCTAACAGAGTACGGATATTACTTGCCTTATTGTATATTCATACATAATGTTTGTTTTCATTTTTAATTGTAGCTCAAGATTAAAACTGCTAAGAGCGCTCGGCTAATGCTATAAGATTTGGCAAAGCACCAAACTACTTAGCGCAAGTTATATTTAAGTAACTCGAAACTTGTGACGTGATTATTTGTAACTTTGTGGGTATTAACAAACTAACTGTTATGGACTTTAACCCACAATGCTTACACATTTTGTAAGGTATTTTAAAGGTAGTTTAATAACAAGTAAGCGTTAACTTAAATTTTAGATTAATTATTAATTTTATTAATTAATTAATTAAAAACTTAAATAATAATATAAATATAATTTAAAATATTATTTTAAGTAGAGCTAAGCTAACTAAAATGAACTGAGTGAAGCACTAACATCAATTAAATACATAATATGTATTGACCTTTATAATTTTGAATTGATACAATTAATTCATAAATAAAATCTAAGTACATGTTACCAGCATAGGTACTATACGGTAATACCCATTATAGCCAGCTAATGTGCATATTTTAGTAATCGCCTCAACCTTCATTTTGGTACCCCTCTCGATTGGTTTGGAAGATTTTTTTTAATGATAGACAAATTGGCGCCTGAAATCCGCCATTGTAATTTTTAACTATTTTTATAAGGTACTTGTTAACTTTATCGTATAAATCGCGTTTGGTCTCTAGAATGCCAAATAGGAATAAACATACATACATATATAGACTGATAAACACATTACCCTCCTTTGAGTCGGGTAGTTGGGTAAAAAATATTGAAATGTGTTTAAATCCGATGTTTTAGGTACATAATAATCAGTAATAAATAAAGCTATTAAAATTTGAAGTGTATGTATATAAAATATGTACTTGAGGCATGTAATAACTTTTTGATGTCTAGACTAAGTAAACTTATTTAAGATAAAATAGATTTACTTGAAAATATATTACAATTTAGGTTTATCAGAGCCGTCTGTCTGCTTGGAAGGTTAAATGTTTGTTATTTAGCCAAGTCTAACATGTATAAGGCTTCAGCGATAGAACATAATCTCACTTTACACAGTTAATAATTACAATATACAATACACATATAGCAAACACAATTATTTTTTAACTAAACAGATATGTAAAACTTTTAAAAACCTTTAAAAATATTCTACTCCCAAGCAAGCATTGTGAGGAAACTTGGATGGCTGAGAGCTACTAGAGAAACTAGCAAGTTTTTGAAAGTGCGAAAAACATGTGAAGTCCGTCAACCCGTACTTGGCCAGCTTGTACAGAAAGAAGGCCCGCGTTCATCGGTGGGGTGGAATACAATAAAAATTGTCTTACAATGTGCGAAAATATCGGGTAGCATTCTTAAAAAACATACTGCATGCATACCTCTTTTTTCTTTGATATCGGTTAAAAATAGTAAAGGTTTTAAATTAACATCCGAAAATATTTACAACATAATTTAAACAACATTAAATTTTGAACGTTTTGTCAACCGACTTCAAAAAGGAGGAGGTTCTTAATTCGGCTGTATTTTTTTTATGTTTGTTACCTCAGAACTTTGTCATTTATTAACCGATTTGGACAATTTTTGTTTTGTTTGAAAGGGTATACTTCCAGATTGGTCCCATTTAAATTTCAAAAGAAAATACCACCCCTAAGGGTGAAAAAATAGCTAATGATGAATTTAACCTACTTCTAATTCTGAAGGTGAAAAGTAAAGGGCCTTAAGTCACATTTTATAAAGTATACAGTAAAGCTCATTAAAGATGAAAAACCCGAAATGAGATATTAAAATCGACCGTGTATAAAAAGTAAATAGCATATCGTTGTCAAATAAAAAGTATGATTATGATGGTTACTTAAGCTATTATATTGTGATATTTTTTTAACAAATATAGTTCCTTAAGGCTGTATTATCGGACTTAAGGTTCTTTAACTTTGGAGTTTTACTAAATATCTTATAGTATATGGTAGTTACGTCACTCCTGTATCAAAAATATATAGTATATTTAATTATTTTATAACTTAAAGTTATAGAAAAATTTTGTATTAAAAAGTTTTAATGACCTTAGAAATTAAACAAAAATGTACATAATATTTTTTATTTAATTAAAACTAAAATCTTTGAACATTAAAATCTCTGCAGATACATAAATTGAAGTGTCTGTTTGTAATACAAAAATAACAGCTTTTTACTAAATACATGTCAAAGTATATACGGTACTAACAATTAGAAAACACATTTTTTTATATTTTTGTCTGTCTGTCTGTCTGTTGTTCTCGTGAATCTCCAAAACTGCTGGACCGATTTTGGAGGGCTTTCACTGGCATATAGCTGGTGTTATAAGGAGTAACTAGGCTAATTTTATTTTAGAAAAAGAATTAGGGTTCCGCAAAAAAAAACGTTACTAGGGACAAACCCAAAGAAAGCGAGGGCAAGTCGCTAGTCTTCTGGTAAGTCACACGCTGTGCCATCGTGGGCTAAAGTAGTATAAAAGTTATGGAAAATGGGTGGGACCCATTGGAGAGCTTTCTGTAAATCCTGATATTTTTTGTTTTCCTTATCAGATGATTGAATGAATGCTAACAAAGAAGGTGAAAATGTATCCTGAACTTCGGGATTGTGTTTGGGAGTGTGGGCTATGATATCATCTTTAGGTTCTATTAAAATATTTTGATCTTCAGCAATTAATTTATCTGGCCATGTAGAGCATTGTGGTACAGCTAACTGTTGAACTCGTTCCGTTTCTATATCGACACCATCTTTAAAATAAAACATAAAAACTCATTACTATATTCAAAGCTACACACAACAACACAGTATCACTCATTTTCCTGAAGAGGTAGGCCAAGGTGTGTCGTTAGATACACCCACGGCTTGCAATCTATATTAATTCGAACGGAGTCCATAATCATAATGTCGATGCGTGAGAAAACAATCCGGGTATTCCTAATTATATGACGGGAGTAGCCCGAAAACTATACTAAACCTAATCCAAAGTGGATTGACCCGGGATCTAACCTACGACCTCTGCGTGGCAGCTTGTACACATTACCTACTACAGAACAATACTATCTCTAGGGTAAGCTTAATTATTCTAAGGTAAACTTTAACGCGCCCTCGCACAATATTCGACGCAATAAGTAGTAAAATCCAATCGTTCTAGTTTAATCTATTTAAGAATCGTTTAATAAAAGAACCTATAGCACTACATACCTACAAGAAAGTGAAATACATTAAATAATACATACACATTAGAAACTATTCTAATATCTGTCAAATATGAAATATAATATCCTCATAATTATGTTAACATTTGTATTTTCTCTTAAAAATAACAAAAAAATATTAAATAATGATAATATATTTACGTACCTGATAATTTTATCATATCAACAAGCCTTCTTCCTCGTCCAGTATTCATATTTTTTAAAAGATTATTCTTTGTTGTCCCCACAACACAATACGCGTACGTTTAATTTTGCACGAAACAAAAACTATCTATACTTATTATAAAAATAAGTCCCCCGGCCGCGTCTTTCTGTCCTCCTGTCTGTCTGTACGCGATAAACTCGAAAACTACTGAACGGATTTTTATACGGTTTTCAACAATAGAAAGAGTAATTCTTGAGGAAGGTTTAGGTATATAATTTATTATGCTTTTATGTAAATTAGCTGAAATACGGCGACAAATGTTGAAGAGGTCGCAAAAAATCTCGCCAAATGGGAACTTTCCACGCGAACGCCGCGTAAACTAGCAAAGATACAGTTAAGTAATGTACTAGAGAATTCAAAATCTATAAAAATGCTACAAAAAAGTCCGCGATAGCATATCTCTATCTCTTACGGTTGACTTACAATAACCACTTTTATGTTAACATTTTTAATTAAAAACATTACGTTATTTTCAAAGTTATTTTCTTTAGTTCGGTATTAATCCTTATCCAAATGAATATTTTAGTTAGCTTAGTCATTTAATGCAGATTAAAATTGCTCTTTACACTAAATCAATCAGATGAATAGTTTTTGAGATATCGTTGTTAGAAGTAATTAGTAGCGAAACATTTTTAATGCTTGGCGAGCATTGAGATGCCTACGGCGAGTCCATCCCCTCTGCCCCGCATCGCTCGACCGCCTGCTCAAGCTATATAAACCGGGCGATGTAGCGCGCGATCCTAGGATACTTTTTACCGCGGGAAAATATCTTATTTCTGAGGAAAAATACAAAAACTGCAATGTAAGAGTATACTAATATGTAACACCTAAGAATTTAGTTTTTGGTCATCTGAACGCGGGCGGAGCCGCGGGCAATGCTAGTAATATTATAAATTATTGCTTAACGGGAGAGAGTGCATGCGCAGGGTCGCGGGGCGGGGACCGTAGGTACGATAGCACCCGCGCAAATGTAACCAGCGCGTAATGGTAAAGAATAGTAAGTCTCACATACTAACGTTTAACATTTATCTAGGTTTATTGTTTAAATAGTAAAAGATATTAAGTAACCATACGATCATTCACTTTTTCACGCGTAGGGACTTGATGTTATTTATAATTTTATTTCTGTGAATTTAGTGACTGTAGGACTTAATGTCTTTTACCATTTAATCAATACGGGTATTCTGAATTAGAATCATAAAAAAATCAAAAATGTAAAAAAATGGACTTAAGGTCCTTTAGCTTTCATCTACAGAATTGTCATATTGACTTGAAACTTTGCAAGTGTTTCTATTTCCGTTGATAGTACAGTGGTTCGGTATTGTTGACCTGATCTGATGGTAAGACCAGAAGGTGGATAGGTGGAACTCTTCAACGACTAATAGTAGATACTTTGAGTTTGGGCTTATTTTGTTTGATTTGACAAGCCTAGCACTTTAGAATTCTTACTTTGCTACTATTGTCTACACTAAAAGGGGGAAAATAAAAACTTTTTAACAAAATAAAAACTTTTTAACAAAAAAATTAAAACCGACTTCAAACAAAAGCACTAAAAAGTAAACAATAACTGATTGGTAGTTTTCATTTACTATACAAACCTAATCAAATATTTTCGAAGTCGGTGTGCTTTGCTTTGTATAGGCTGGCACCGATTTCCAAAATATTTGATTAGGTATGTATTTAATAGGTAGGCTTTAATTACTTAGCCAAAGCACACCGACTTCAAAATATTTGATTAGGTATGTATTGAGAACCTCCTCCTTTTTGAAGTCGGTTGAAAATAAAAACCGACTTCAAACAAGAGCACTAAAAAGTAAAAAATAACTTATTGGTAGTTTCCATTTACTATACATACCTATATGCAACTTTCTTCATCAACTATGATTCAGCGTGATCTGTGGTTTCCTACGCACTTGAAGCACAAGTGTTTTTTGAAAATACTTCTATATACCTATCTAAATATTTATTAAATAACTGAAAAAAAATAAAAAAATATTTTTGACTTCAAATACATTTCTAAGAAATACGAGCATTGTTTATTATCAAATTATTGAGCCCTCGCTACAACAGACAGCCCACGTATACTTCTTATGGCTTCGTTTCAGGTTTCTATGAATCTGAATAAATTTATTAGCTTGCCGTAACCTATACTAACCAGTACCTTATCATAGATTTATATTAATTTTTTAATTCACATTTACATATTTTACATTACAGTTAGATTTCTTAGAAAATATGACTATAGCATGGGCAAAGTTCCCCCCTACCAGTAAATTCACAAAATCTTTTTTAGCGAATTTATTACCTAATATATCAGATTCAAAAAAAAAACAGGCTTTAATAGAAAAATCGGCATAAAACGCGAGTTATTTTTTAACATTCTGTTTTCTCCATTGAATGTACGAATCTTTCATTACCTTTCAAAGAAAAAAGATATTACGCTTAAAAATTACTTTAAGAGTAACTTACCTCTCCACTTATTTATCATATTCGTCATAGATAATATAGTAGGGGAGCCCAAGAGGGGATTTTCTGTAGTTACTCGAGCGCGGCAGATTAACATAAAAGAGGTTACCTTGCACTCTATTGAGTACTTTCACCATAATATAAGTCTTCTATATAAAGAGGCGCGTCTAGGGAAGCCGATTAAAATATTTAAAAAATGTTTTGATAAGGTAGACATACTTGAAACCGTCAGATTAAGGTATGGTAGGCTAGTCACATCCTGAAAAGTGTCCAATTCAATAATCTGCCGATTTGCACAAGCCGAAGAGGCAAAAATCGACTATAAAGTTTATGATGATTTTTGCCTCTTAGGCTTGTGCAAATCGGCAGATTATTAAATTGGACACTTTTCAGGATGTGACTAGCCTACCACACCTTAATCTGACGGTTTCAAGTATTTCTACCTTATCAAAACATTTTTTAAATATTTTAATCGGCTTCCCTAGACGCGCCCCTTTATATAGAAGACTTATATTGTGGTGAAAGTACTCAATAGAGTCCAAGGTAACCTCTTTTATGTTAATCTGCCGCGCTCGAGTAACTACAGAAAATCCCCTCTTGGGCTCCCCTACTATAGATATATTATACTTTGGACCGAAATCTAATATTCTAAATAGAGCTGAAAAGAAAATGAGTGTTCTGCCTGCTCTGAGTATATTCTTAAACTTTTGACCTATGAGGGGATCGCTGGATTCCAGTGTATATTCCAGGTAATTTAGGTATCTTATATGTAAGCTTTAATTTTATATAGAACGAGAGTAATTCCCGCTGGAGGCATTTGTGTGATGAGTGCGAATGTTTTTACTCTAGTCATGGGTGTTTATATTTATCTATACCTACATTTAATAAAATTGTAACTTAGCCGAATCTGTACATTAAATATTTTTTGGAAAATCTTATTGAAATAGACATTATTATCGATACAGAATCCGAATCTATAGTTTTTAGAATTTTTGTCTGTCTGTCTGCCCGGAATGCATCACCAGAAAACTACTGGACAAATTTTGATGAAATTTGGTATGATGATAGCTGGGTATCCGGGCCAATATATAGGATACTTTTTATTGAGGGAAAATATCTCATTTGTGAGAAATATATTTACTAACCGTTAAAACGTGGACGTGAACCTAGGGATGAACCCGAGCAGAGCGAGGGTGAGTCGCTATTCTGTCTATATCCATACTAATATTATAAATGTGAAAGTGTGTTTGTTTGTTTGTCTTTCTTTGACGTCGAAACAGAGTGACGCATTGGCTGTCCGTCTGTCTGTCTGTCCGTCTGTCTGTCTGTCCGTCTGTCTGCCTGTCCGTCTGTCTGCCTGTCCGTCTGTTACCGCATCACGGACAAACCGCTGGAGGGATTTCGATGATGGCTGGTTATCCGGGTCAACATATAGGATACTTTTTACAGCAGGAAAATATCTCATTTTTGAGAAAAAATACAAAAACTGCAATGTAAGAGTATACTAATATGTAAAACGTAAGAATTTGGTTTTTGGTCATCTAAACGCGGCAGAGCCGCGGGCAATGCTAGTAATATATATGTATTTAAAGTTATATAATATTATTTGCAGTGTATCAACTAACTGGTATCCATAACACAGGTTCATAGCTTACCATGCAACTAGATGGTGCAGTGTGTTAATGTCCATACATATTTATTTTAATTATTTATTATTTATCTAAGAATAATATAAGATTAATTAAAGGCTAAAATTTAGGGTTTATTGGTTAATATTCATCAAATATTGCCACTTGTCAGTTCCAATTTATTTCACGCTTAACTAGATACATATATGTACAACATACGTTGACCTTCATAATATTATTAATATGTTCCCAATAATGTCTACGACATCGTTTCTGTATCAAATAGAAATATCTGTCTGTCAAGTTTACATATTATTTCGCATCGTCTGCTTTGTCACCTCAGGGTGTGTGAGGACGTCATGACTCCAAGTTTCGCCGCAATGTTTGTCTTTCCTCAAGGTAGGTACGTTATAAATTATAAACTGAGCACTTAAGCTCTTTGTAAACTTGTTTAAATTAAGGCGCTTATTAGAATTCTTAGCTGCGACTTCTTGATAATATTAACATTAACGTCTGACTAGAATTTATAGCTGCTGCTTAAACCTGCTTAAAATATTGTCAATCGTTTTTTTCTAGTCTTCTTTAGGGATTTCTAGGAATCTAGATGGTAAGACGAAAATATCTATTTAAAAATCCTCAAGATTTGTAAACGCAAGATGAAGTTATCGGATTACCTATTTAAAGAAATATTAATTAATTATATATCAAGGGTAAAATGCATCGTTCATCTTGATTGTCAGGGAAATATAGCCCTTATACTTTGAAATATATGTTTAACTAGCGGCTTACCTTTGCTTCGCTTGGATTCACCTCTAGAACAACAAAAACAAATTATCCCACGGGAACTATACATTTTTCGGAATAAAAAGATAGTCTATGTGTTATTTTGGTATAT